TTTGACTGTGGTATCTTATGTGCCCCCCCCCTATATATTGTTCCTAGAGTCTCTACTGGACTCAAGTCAGTCTTGTAGGAAGTGGTGAAAAGCCCCATTACCTTTCTTATATGTCTGTGCTCAGCCAACCTTATCTGCTTGGGAAAACTCCCATTTTGGGGTTTCTTTGTTCTTCTTGTCCGGGCTTCGTGTGACCCAAAATGCTACAGAAAATACATCCGCTTCTGATTCTCTTTCTACTTTCAGTAATTCACAGCCGAGTGTTCATTAAGGTAAACCGCAAGCTGCTATTTCATCCAGTCCCCGGCTGCATGAAGTCATTATAATCGCTGGGAAAACCAGGCTGGAGTTTAACTTGATTTTAATGAAATCAGCGTGACACGGACTAGAAGACTTAACAAGTGGCCATGTGTGCCTTTTACGTGAGAGAGAACTGATCTAAGGCAGCGTTTGGGGGGGGGGGTCACATTGTCATCGTTGGGTAAAAGTATTATGTGTGATATACAGTACATAGCAAGGATGCTGTCAAAGCATAAAGGGAGCATACAGCATATTTTTAATGGGCACATATTTTGAGTTACGATTCCTCTATTTATCCTTATGGAATTGTTGGTGTAGCATTAACTTATTAACAAGCCTGTTCTCTCTTTTTCTTAAAGTGTTATATACAGAGATTTATAGATTGGCCACTAGAGGGAGCCCTCAGTGGCTCAGTGCAATTGCTTTGTTCCCCTATCTTAATTACTGTTAAGATACGCTATATGGCCAAATGTTTTGGACCACTTGACCATCACAACTATATCAACTTGTCCCATTCTAAAGCATTAACAATTAATATGGAGTCGGCCTCTCTTCCAGAAGGTTCACAACAAGATTTTGGAGAGTGTGTGTGTGTGTGTAAATATCTGTCCACTCAGCCAAAAGATCATCTGTGAGGTCAGGTACTGATGTTGGATGAGAAGACCTGGCTTCCAATTCATCCCAAAGGTGTTCAGTAGGGTTGAGGTCAGAGCTGTGTGTGGGTCACTCATGTTCCTCCACACCAGACTGGTCACACCATGTCTTTATGGAGCTGGCTATGCACACAGGGGACAGTCATGCTGGAACAGAAAAAGAATCTTCACCAAACTGTTGCCACAAGGTTGGAAGAGCACATTGTCCGAAATGTCTTTGTATGCTGTGGTGTTAACAGTACCCTTCACTGGAGACACCTGAACTCCAACATTGGAAGGAGGGTTCACATACCTTTGGCCATATAGTGAGAGATATCAGCCACACAGGGGGCGTATTGTTTTTATTAAGTCGGACAAATCATAGACTTCCATTGTGAGAGGAACTGGTAAAGCATGGTCATTGTGTTGCACTGCAAAGGTGGTGGTAGAGCTTCAGTTTTTGTTAAGCAACTATGACTGCAACCTTTTTTACATAGATCTACCAATTATACATATAAAGTCATTTTTTAGAGCAGAACATTAATAAGACTGTTTATCTTTAATGCTATATGTCGTACTTTTGCATCGGAATTCACCTTTTGTTTCTTTATTTGGCAGGAGTTGGAGTATCAGAAACGCCACTACCGGGAGGCAGGAGACCGATTTGTGCCAGTGATGGGTGACTTCATCACCGTGGCCAGCTTCAGCTTTTCAGAATTAGAAGACCTTCTAAGCGAGGCCAGGGATAAGGTATGGACCCTCTTCTCTTTACCCTCCATCCTGGAGTGACTGAGCAGATACTACTAGAATTATATGATGTCTTTCTTAAGGAGCCTATAGGCTTGAGATGAAATTCAGGGGCATGGTCCCATGGCTATGCTGCTGCTGGCCAACAGTTCTAGGGGAAGATAGCCAAGAGGAACAATGGATATCGCTTCACCCTTAAAAAACCACCACCAAGGTGTCCTGACTCCTCATCCTGCCTCATAGCATAAATGACAAAGCATGCTTGTCAATGTCATCAAATAGGTCTATCTATCTATCTATCTATATTATCTATTTATTTGTGTTATAAGTCTAACAGAAGTAATTTTTCCTCTTTAATAATCGCTCATATTCCTCTCGGTGTAGCTGTATTCGGGGCAGGGTGAGTGAAGCTCGGGGTCGGCTCTCCTGGACACCCCATCAATACGCCCTCTGTCTGTTAAATGGAGCGATTGTTTAGCAATGAAATCTATTCTGACAGTTGAAAGAGTCCTGTGTGTACAGAATGTGGTGCTGCGGCTCTTTGATTCTATAAATACAGATCCCAGAGGAGCAGGATTGGGTTACCATGCCTGGATTTATGAGAACATTATTTTAAGTAATGTATTAGTGTGTGTGGGGAGGGGGCAACTGATGGTAGACCAACCAAATTCCCCCCCCAAAAAATAATATTGAATTTATTAGAATCAGTCACCACCATGATAGCCCTGCAGTAGGAAGAGGTTCTGTATGATTGTCCTGCAGAAGAAAGAGGTTCTGTATAAGGAAGACGTTATGTATGATTGTCCTGCAGGAGGAAGAGGTTCTGTATGATTGTCCTGCAGGAGAAAGAGGTTCTGTATAAGGAAGAGGTTCTGTATGATTGTCCTGCAGGATGATGAGGTTCTGTATGATTGTCCTGCAGGATGATGAGGTTCTGTATGATTGTCCTGCAGGATGATGAGGTTCTGTATGATTGTCCTGCAGAAGGAAAAGGTTCTGTATGATTGTCTTGCAGGAGGAAGAGGTTCTGTATGATTGTCCTGCAAGAGAAAGAGGTTCTGTATAAGGAAGAGGTTCTGTATGATTGTCCTGTAGGATGATGAGGTTCTGTATGATTGTCCTGCAGGATGATGAGGTTCTGTATGATTGTCCTGCAGAAGGAAAAGGTTCTGTATGATTGTCTTGCAATAGGAAGAGGTTCTGTATGATTGTCCTGCAGAAGAAAGAGGTTCTGTATAAGGAAGACGTTATGTATGATTGTCCTGCAGGAGGAAGAGGTTCTGTATGATTGTCCTGCAGGAGAAAGAGGTTCTGTATAAGGAAGAGGTTCTGTATGATTGTCCTGCAGGATGATGAGGTTCTGTATGATTGTCCTGCAGGATGATGAGGTTCTGTATGATTGTCCTGCAGAAGGAAAAGGTTCTGTATGATTGTCTTGCAGGAGGAAGAGGTTCGGTATGATTGTCCTGCAAGAGAAAGAGGTTCTGTATAAAGAAGAGGTTCTGTATGATTGTCCTGCAGGAGGAAGAGGTTCTGTGTGATTGTCCAGCAGGAGGAAGAGGTTCTGTGTGATTGTCATGCAGAAGGAAGAGGTTCTGTATGATTGTTCTGCAGGAGGAAGAGGTTCTGTATGATTGTCGTGCAGGAGGAAGAGGTTCTGTATGATTGTCCTGCAGGAGGAAAAAGTTCTGCATGATTGTCCTGCAGGAGGAAGAGGCTCTGTATAAGGAAGACGTTCTGTATGATTGTCCTACAGGAGGAAAAGTTCTATATAAGGAAGAGGTTCTGTATGATTGTCCTGCAGGAGGAAGAGGTTCTGTATGATTGTCCTAGAGGAGGAAAAGCTTCTATACAGGGAAGAGGTTCTGTATGATTTGCCTACAGGAGGAAAAGGTCTGTATAAGGAAGAGGTTCTGTATGATTGTCCTGCAGAAGGAAGAGGTTCTGTATGAGGAAGAGGTTCTGTATAAGGAAGTGGTTCTGTATGAGAAAGAGGTTCTGTATAATTGTCCTGCAGGAGGAAGAGTTTCTGTATAAGTCATATGTGGAACTCTTACTTCTATTTCTAGTCATACAATTCAAGAAAAATTCAAGTAACGTTTTGCCAATCATAAATACTACCCCTGCACTGATTGTACAGTTCCAGCCAACTGTATCGCGTATTGAAAGAAGAACTCTGGGCAGAAGAAGTCTTAACCCCTGCAGTGGGGCTATCTCTGCACTACAAGGGTTAAGGGCTTGTTTTCTTCTAGGGTCGCAAATAGATATACTCACCCAAACCTCTGACCCAGTTGGCTGCAAGCCCGGTCCATGCAGCCTCTTTCTCTCTCAGCTCCAGCAGTCTAAGAACCTGTGAGTGATCACGTATAATACAGTGTATTAGACGTGAGGACACCAAGGGACCATCCATTGCTGGGGCAGAGGAGAAGAGAGGCTACAGGGACTGGTCTAGCACCCGTGCTTCGGGTGAGTATATCTTTATTATTTAGGTCCCTTTACGAAAACGAGCAGGACAGTAAAGGAAACAAGAAAACAAATGCAGCCACCACATCTGAGGACTGGTGAGCTGCCATATATGACATTCTTGTTCTTGGTTTTAGATGCACTTTAAATTGCAGATTTTTTTCCCCAGCTTGTCATTCGGTAATGGCCGGGTATTTGTTAATAAGCAGCATGACTTTTATATTGCTTAATAATGTTCTATAGCTCTATAGTAAATGCTTTGGGTATGACGGAATCCATTTCAGCAATGTTGACTTGACATTGTGACTTGTCGCGGGGTCAGAGGTCATGTTGTAATGGTGTTGTCACAGGTCAGCCCTATGTAATTGATGGTAGCCAGGTTAATGGGAGAGCAGAGGCAGAGGTAATCCTGTGCTTTTCTTTTACCACTTAACAGTCTGACAGCTGAGATAAGATAAGGAGGTTTACACAGGAGATTGAGGGGGGTCAGGGGGGGTCAAGAGAGACTTGAGGCAGATTTAGAACAGGAATTAGAAAAAGACATAAACATATTGCCACTTCTGTCTCCATAAAAAAATCATCTTCTTCCTCCTCTGCTGTGCAGCAGGCTGCGCAGGCTCTTGAAGGTTTAGTGCTTACTTCCAATATCAGATCCATTGCTGCCAAGACAAGTGCAGTGCGAGAGAAAATATCATACATGGGGTGGTGTAATATGTGATCAGAAAAAAAGTCCAAGTAGAACCTGCACTCCTTACAATGCTTGACCTTGGAATAATCGGTGGATGTGTGATTGCTATAGATGGTGCCATGCCAAAACCAGGTGAGAAGATACAAAGTCACCAACACTCCAAATAAAAGACAGACCCAGAGAGACTGGGGGGAGTAATAGTCCCTGGAGAAGGGGTTAAAATAAACGGGATTAGCTGATCTTACCTGATTGGAGGTTGGGGTCAGGTGTCCGGGAGGAGCCGCATGGGCTGGAACGGCAAGGGCCGAGGGGCGTTCTTTCTAAAAAGTCGACGGAGGAAGCAGGTTGTCCCACCCGGCCTCCATTAATTTTGTGGTTTCTGATGGTTGCATGGTCGGACCTTTTTATGTCATGACAGCTTGGGGGGTTAAGGGGTCTTTGGGGGGTGTGAAACTCTGAGTCAGGTACACAAATGGGGGGCCATCAGCTGTTATGGGTGCTTCCCCCTGTTGGTGTCAGTATTTGTAGGGGGGGCTTGGCCCCTTAGAACTTGGGAGCAGTAACTGTCCTTGAGCCGGTTGGGGTCATGGGAGTAGTTTTTAGGACAGGCCTTATTTGGGCTGTTGGGCACCCAAAGACCCTCTTCTCCGATCCAGGAGTGACTCTAAACACACAAGTACATAGGTGTCATTGGGGACAAAGGAAAGAACGGGGGTCACCAGAGAAACAGGAGCACACGGGTGTTACAGGAGGTGTCACTGGAGACACACAAATACACAGGGTCACTGGAGACACACAAGTGCACAGGAGTCACTGGAGATACAGCAGCACACAGGGGTCACTGGGGTCAATGGAGACACGGGGGTCACTGGAGACACAGGGGTCACTGGAGACACAGGGGTCACTGCAGACACAGGAGCACACAGAGGTCACTGGAGATGCAGGAGCAGAGAGGGATCACCGCTGTTACTAGAGACACAGGATTGCTCAGGGGTCACTGAAGACACAAGAATGCACAGGGTTTACTGGAGACACAGAAGTCACTGGAGACACAGGGGTCACTGGAGACATAGGAGTGCACAGGGGTCACTGGAGACATAGGAGTGCCTGGAGATACAGGAGTGCAGAGGTGTCACTGGAGATACAGGAGTGCACCAGGGTTCAATGGAGACATAGGAGTGCACTGGAGACACAAGAGTGCACAGGGGTCACTTGAGACACAGGTACACTCAGGGGTCCCCAAGGACGGGAGGCAGGCACCAAGGACTGCAGCAGGGGGCTCAGGTAGGGCATGGCAATGTGTTGCTTGATTGCCGAGCAATCTGTCACCCATCATTTAAGCAAGCAGCCATCGGGATTGCTGTCGCTGGATCCCTGGGGAGGTGAGGGTAATAGCCACTTTATTTTTAAAGTTTTTTTGTAGAAAGTTGTAATATTAACAGAAATAAATATGATGTTACAAGCTGAATATTATAAAAACATTTCTTTAGGGTATGATATAAAACGAGTGGGATGTAGGGAACAGTAATACATAGATGGGTTGTAGCATTTGAGGTGGAAATATTCAATGTAAATTGAATGAATTGCTGAGATCTTACAATAGATGGGCTTTGTTGTCATTTGTATTTTGTGGTGTAGATTGTGTGTGGACTCCATACATTCATCCTGATATACAGTACCATGTGGTCATTATTGGACTTTCCTGTAGAACCCTCCTGAGTAGACCCATTCTTTTCTTCCTCTTAGTTTTCCAAAGCCGTGAAGCATTTCGGTGAGATGGAGGGCAAAATGCAGCCGGACGAGTTCTTCGGCATATTTGACACTTTCCTGCAGTCGTTTTCTGAGGCCAAACAAGATCTGGAGAACATGAGGAAGAAGAAGGAGGAAGAGGAGCGCAGGGCACGGATGGAGTCCATGGTGAGACCAAACTCTAAAACTGTCCTCTTCTAACATTCATCCACTGTGTCCACACATCTGGCTTCTATAGTTTGAATCAGTGACCCAAGGCAAATATACAGATCCGGAAAGTGTGAAGCTTTTATCTGCATGGGTGTTCCTGGTCAGTGCAGGAAGGTTAGCATGAGAGCCAGGTAACCAGCATTTTCAAAGGGAGAGATCAGTAATGGTAGTATCTATTGATTTTGTGTGGTTGACCCTTTGAATAGCTCGTACTTAGTGCATGGTTAGGCAACCTTGGTGAAACTACAGCTGTGGTGACACTACATGCCTGTGTCTCTGGAAGGCAAGCTTGTGGGTGTAAGGGTCGGTGCACACCTAGGCGATATCGCGCAAAACAGACATTTGCATTGAAGTCAATAGAGTCTGTTCACACCTTTGCGGTTTGTCGCGCGGACAAAATCGCCTGTCTCGCGAAAAGGTGCAGGAGCTATTTTCGGGCAGTTGTCGCGCGGTTTGGATCCCATAGACATCTCTATTTATTGATAAACGTACGACAACCGCGCGGTTTACAATGAACAGTCGCGCGATCGTAAAAACACATGACAACCGCGCGAAAACAGCTCGGCATGTGAATCGCCTAGGTGTGAACCTAGCCTCGTAGTCTTGCAATGCTTCATGGCACTTGTAGTTCCAGCTGGAGTTTTGAGGTTGTGTACCTCTAGCTTTGTGCATGTTTTACAAATTACATTGAGGGGGATTTATCAAAACTGGAGCAGACAAAATCTGGAGCAGCTGTGCATTACAACCAATCGGCTCCTCTCTTTCATGTTCAAATTTTAACTGAACAGACTGAAGAGAGAAGCTGATTGGTTGCCATGGACAGCTGCTCCAGATTTTGTCTGCTCCAGTTTTGGTAAATCCACCCGCCCCCACCCATTTTCTCTTTTAGTCTTCTCTACTATTTCTACAGTTTTTTTCAGTTGAGTTATTTCTGTTGCCCCGAAATTGCGACTCTGTGCCCTCCACTTTGGATCCCCCATTGCCCATCCCTCCCTTCCCAGACAATGGAAACAAACACATCTGTTGGAGGGTAGAAAACCTGGCTGAGAAGCACAGATCTAGACCACAACTTGAAGTAGCCAACCATTTATTTTAACCCCTGAGGGACCTCAGGTTTCAGAAATAAATCCAGTTGGCCTGTTTTCAGCAAAGCCTTTCAATCTGATTTGATTCATGGTTGCAACATTTGTAATCCAGAACCAGCAACAAGGGGGATAAATCATGTTTAAAATCTGTCCTTAGCCAGTTTGGAAACTTCACATTTAGCTTGCTAAGCCCTTCCTGATTTATGATCATTAAAAGCTTTGGATGTTCCTGTTATCTGAAAGACATGGCAGAAGATTGAGGGGTTTACAAGGAAGTGATTACTGGGAGAGCACAATTTATTGTTGGAGATGATAGGGCTGTAAACCCGTTTTGTTTTTAATTTTCGCAGCTTAAAGAACAGCGGGAGAAAGAGAGACGGATGAAGAAGTCCCAGGCCGGGAGCATATCCGAGGAAGGCGGCGAGTTCGACGACTTGGTGTCAGCGTTACGATCCGGAGAAGTGTTCGATAAGGACTTATCCAAGCTCAAGAGGAACCGCAAACGCTCTGGAAACCAAATTCTGGACACGAGCAGAGAGAGAGCGGTTACCAAACTAAATTATTAGAAAGCCGCCGGTAGAGACGTTGTAATGGAACGGAACGATTTTTGGGAAATGATTCGAGGTCACGGGAAAAGTTGAAGTTTCCTTATGGAAGAAAACGCTTTACCTCTTCGTGACTGAGATCATTCCCACCATGGCTTGGACGTCAAGCTTCTTGAAGTGCCTCCGTGGATTCCTTTCATGCCTGGTTAAGGGCTCGAGTCCACGTCTACAAATATTTGGAAAGGCCCGCAGCAGTGGATGAAGACGGGTCAAACCTCGTTATCACACTTTAGAAGTGCCAATATTTTTGCACTGTCCAACATTTCAAAAATAATGGTGTTTTTTTTAACTTTTTTTTGGCCAGAGACTCAAAACATTTTGCATACGGATGAAACGGAAGCCCCCGATGTAAGAGATGGCAGGCCCATTCTGTAGTCTAACAAGGATGTTTGGAAAGCTCTGCGCGACGTGACGCCAGGTCCATGGAACAAAATCAAAGTTGCACATTTTGAAACTAGCTTTTATTTTGTAGATTGAGTTTCAGCACTCTTTCTGGGAAGCTCAGCTGCAATTAATACAAGTGGGTACTTTCTTCAAGCCCGTGTAAACCCAAGCCTTGTACGGGGCATACTTTTGTGATTCCAGGATTCCGTTTTCTGAAACGGAACATAGAAAAACCACTGTGTGTTCCCAACGAGTTATGCACTTTTTTCGCCTCTCATCTGTTGCCATGGTTAGTATTGGCTTCAAAGATGTTGTTACACAGAGTCCAACTTGCTAAAATTTCGAGCTGGCTCAACAAAAGCACTATGTTTCGTAATCGTTAAAACAAATCAATGCGTCATGAGGTTCTTGACCCAGCCTCACAGCCAGCACTTTTCAGATATTTTGAGAGTACGTGGGAGTGCCAAAAATATTTTATCTCCATTAGAAGCACATCAGGAATTTTTTTTTATCTTAAAAAGGGAGGAAATAGGATAATCAAAAAAATCTAGGGATCAGAGTTGGATTTACCTGGATGGAATAGTTTCATACTCAGCACTGGATGGTGACAATTCATTGGATGAGAGGCAGAGATCTTGAAGGACATGTGAACCATCTGGAAGGTCTACCATGAAATCTCCTTATTTGTGAGGAATTCAGTGGTATTGGTAACCTGGCCTGGTAGCTAGTTCTGTATTGGCCACCAAAGTCTCTTCTGGCTTTGTGCAGTTCCAAGGATGACATGGGTCTTTTGGGCTACAATGGCAATGGCCCACTGGGAAATCAGATCTGGTGGGAAAACTATGTGCTCTTTTTAGGTCTTGGCTTATCGAATACAAGTCCTATAACTCTTCCAAATGAACTTTTCTTTGTCCAGTGTTATCCAAAGTATGGCTCCTTGTAAGCTGCAGCCTTTTGATTCAAACAAACTGTAACATAATTCATGATGAACTAGCGCGATGCGGGTCCCTTCTGGGGAATAAGGAAAATGGTACTTTATGTGGCAATAATATATAAATAGGTGAAAATTATTCCGTTGTTGATGTACGTTTCTTTCTGAGTAAAGAGAAATGTTTAAAAGTAAGAGGAACATATGAAGAAATAGAGGCAGGTAAAGGAGGGAATGGTGTAATAATAACATTGTGTAATCTAGCCTAAATGTTAAGAGATATGCAATGTATTAAGCCATGCTAAAGACAAATGTTTTTTGTATATTTTGGGTTCACCTAGAAGGTTGTAACACTTGCAGACTGTGATTGTCGATCATATACAAAAAGTCGTGCCAAAACACAGCCATTATAAGAACACACTGAAAAAGGTCTGGGTCTACAGGGTACAGCTACCCAAACTGATATTTAACATCTAGGCAAATATTGGTAGTGCGAGAACTATGGAACTATGGGGAAGATCTTCACACCATAACTCCTGACTATGGGAAAGACCATCACACCATAACTCCTGACTGTGGAGAAGACCATCACACCATAACTCCTGACTATGGGGAAGACCATCACACCATAACTCCTGACTATGGGGAAGACCATCACACCATAACTCTTGACTGTGGGGAAGACCATCAAACCATAACTCCTGACTGTGGGGAAGACCATCACACCATAACTCCTGACTATGGGGAAGACCTTCACACCATAACTCCTGACTGTTGGGAAGATCTCCACACCATAACTCCTGACTGTAGGGAAGATCTCCACATCATGACTCCTGACTGTGGGGAAGATCTCCACACCATAACTCCTGACTAAAAAGAAGATCTTCACACCATAACTCCTAACTATGGGGAAGCTCTGCACACCATAACACCTGACTAAGGGAAAGATTTTCACACCTGACTGCGGGGGAGATATTCACACAATAAATTCTGGCTATAGGGAAGAACTTCAAACCATAACTCCTGACTATGGGGAAGATCTTTATGACATAACTCCTGGCTCTGCTTTCCACTCAACTTAGAAAATAAATTAAATATCCTATTTGGCACAGCTGAAAACTTAGCTGTGGAGCATGAGATCTCAAGAACTACGGGGAAGATCTTCACACCATTACACCTGACTGTGGGGAAGATCTTCACACCATTACACCTGACTGTGGGGAAGATCTTCACACCATAATAGCTGACTGTGGGGAAGACCTTCACACCATAACTCCGGACTAAGGGGAAGATCTTCACACCATAACTCCTGACTATAGTGTAGACCTTCACACCATAACTCCTGACTGTGGGGAAGACCTTCACACCATAACTCCTGACTCTGCTTTCGATTCTCCGTAGGATAAAAATGAAATATCTTTTTTGGCATAGTTGGGAACGTATCTCTGGAGATCTTGGATTTCTAAGACGTATGAGAAGTCAACAGGTTTTTCAGTCATTCAGCCAAAATATCAGCTTTGGGTAGACTAATCCTCTCACTCTCATTAAGTACATCCCCTGTATACTGCTCAAACAGATACATGGAATGCCAACACATCTTTTTCTGGATATTGATGTCTAGAAATTGCCTGAATGTTTACAGACTGTGTCAGCTGATTATATGGATCCCACTGCTTGTCAGATGTCTTCTCTGTATTGTAAAGAATGAGATGTCCCCCTTTTCTTGGTGACTCTAATGATCCAAGACGAGTAACCAGATAGATTAAAATCCCTTCCAACCAAAAAAATTGAAGCATTGAAGAACAAAAGTTTGAAGAAACAACGTGAACAGATCCCTTTCTAATAGCTTGTGACTTTCTTTCATGGCTTTGCCTTGCAGTTCTCGATTCCTCCTTTAAGATTAACCCTTCCGCTTAAGTTGCCTCCTGAAACAAAAAAGGTTGCAGGTCCTTAATTCACCACAGATTCATTGGTAGAGGCAGCAGATTCCTTTTCTATTTGCCCAACACAAAGTGCCACATTCAGCCACAAAGTATTGAGTGGAATCCTCAATGATTGTAACATTATTGAGGAACAACATGAACCTTTTTAGGCGATAAAGGAAGGAAAAGTTAATTCAGTGGAAAAAATCCTTGAAGGCACCCACCAATTTACCCGGCACTAGCAACAGCAGAGCTATGATGCTTCTAGTGCCATGTACTTGGTTTACCATGCACACAGTTTGCTTTTTACATCCCATCACTCTGCATCCTCATGAATGCTCAGGACTATATCTATAGTCTCGCCCCTTCAGTTTATAGTACATGTCCCAGATATCTCTGAATGATGGATGACCATTACATTGACCATAGACTTGGCAATTCTGGTCAGTTCCAGAAGTTTTCCATCAGGTTTCAATGGAAAGAACCACGACATGGACCTGAAGGAATCTGCCACCTTCTGTTTGAACCATTTCCTAGCTTTGAGCAACTGAACAATCACAATTGCCATGGAAATCGACCAATAGCATCACAGTGGCAGCTAGAAGGTGTTTTTGATTGACCTCCACCACGATACTGATTGTTTGGCTACTTGAGCAATGATAGGAACCGTGTGGGTGACATATTGCTGTAGATTCTTCGATTCCATGCAGTTGTTTCTCTCAATCAGAAACCAATTGAAAGCTTCCAAAATTGGTGCAAAATTGCCATTCGTATGGCCGGTGTAGATCAACTTGTTCAACCAAATCTGATCTTGGTTTATTGAGATCAGATTAGTAAAAAAACAATCGCTGGCAAACCAAATATACCCAAATTTGTGCATTCTGAAAGGAATTCTTTAAGCATTGCAACCAGAGAAAGGGTTAAAGTGTAACAAAACCTAACAAATTAACTTCTCTTAGTTGGTCCCTTTTGGTCTGTTAAATATACAGTACACATATATATATATATATATATATATAGCTTCCTAAATGCCCGGGAAGCCGGCTCCATGTTCCTCTACGGCACTGTCGGTCAGAGGAGACCTTCCTCTGACTGGAAGTTCCAGTATCGGGGAAAGTATCGGAGCATTTGGGATTAGTACGGGTACTCACCCAAATACTTGGTATCGGCACCAGTATTAGTATCGGTATCAGTGCATCCCTGAAGTGTGTATATATATATATATATATATATATATGAAAGTGTTTTGTTAAATCTGTTCAACATCTGCAAAAAGTAACCTATTGATCCTTCCAGAAATCTTATCAACTGATAACTTCCTGTCCCATCTGCCTGTGCTGCACTCTTATTACATTGTTTGCCGCTATTTCTGAGAATGACAAAACACCTCCCCCTATGTTATGGCAAAAAGGAGGAAGTGTTTATAGTCCTGTGCTAGAGTGACAACGCTCCACAGATACAGCACAATGAGTGAGTGTTGTCACCCTAGGACAGGAAGTAGGTTAGTGGCGCTGGCAACATCCCCAGCTGAAAACAAAAGGAAAAAAAGTCTGAAAAAGAAAATGAATGCGGCTATTGGATATATTAGATTTTTGTTCTTGGGATTTACATGCACTTTAAGACCAACTCCAGCCAAATGTTCTTATTGATTGATTTTTGGATGGAACGTGGCAAGGGATAGAACCTGTGTTACGTTGTTATTCTTATCTATGACCCCCTACTTTGAAGATTTCCCTCACTTCCTGTCTCGGTGACACCTTACCCTGCCCCTGACACACAGAATGTCTTCCCAAAATAACAAAGGCAGTGCTTAGTTTCTTCTACCGGCCTTCTGTGCAGCGTGTTCTTTCCTAAAAACTAATAACAATTCATCAATAAATGTAACAATAATTTGGAGATTCTGGTAGGTTGGGGAATTATCGCACGCTTGTCTTTTTGTAAGTAGAGCTAGAACTGAGTATGTGGGATTGCCTCCCCGTGTGTATGTGAGAGGATTCCATATGTGTCATTCATTAGGAGATTAGGTTGTCCCTTTCCCATGTGCGCATATAGTAGAGTTATGATTAATGATTTTTCTTCCCTGTGTGCACATGAGAGAGAATGACAGATATGTATCACTCTTTAGGAGATTAGGTTGTCAGTGAGTGAGTCAGATGTGATGTTCATAGACTTTGTTATGGGCTCTGAATTGGGTTTCCAGCTTATATGAGTTTGTCTTTCTGTGTGTATATGAGAGTATTCCATGTGTATAATTCACTGGGAGGTTATGTTGTCAGTTTCCCATGAACATATATGGTAGGATTATAACCGTTACACCTTAGGAGATTAGGTTGTTGGTTCCCCATGTGTGTGCATAAGGCTAGGTTCACACCTGCACTACAGCGCATGATGCACAAGACGCGCGATCGTGTGCTAGTGCACACAGTGAGTGCCGCGCGGCCCCATGGATTTCAATTGAGCGAGTGACATCGGCGCGGCAATCGCTAAAAAAATGTACAAGTACACGACACGCAGCTTATTTAGTTCACTTGCATGGGCGGAATCGCGGCGGGAAACCGCGCAATCCTCCCGACGCGACTGGGGTGCCATTAGAAAATAATTGCACCCACAGCGCAATCGGTTCACACCTCGGCGACTCCTGACCGCGTGGAATCATGCACGATTGCCGCGCTGCGAGGTGTCGCCGAGGTGCGAACCTAGCCTAAGAGAGAAGTACATATATTTATCATTCTTTAGGAGATTAGGTTGTCAGTGAGTGAATCAGATGTGATGTTTACAAACTTGACAAGGGCTCTGAAATGGGTTTCCAGCTTATGCGAGATTGTCTTCCTGTGCACATGTATGGTAGAATGATACTACGTTACTCATTAGGAG